CAAATGGTTTGCCCAAAACAACACAAGACTTAGAACTCCACAGTTCAGCTACAACAAGGAAAGTCATGCTTCAAGTCCAAGGATGACTTTCCAACATAGTTTTAAAGTCCAAAGGTAAAGTAAAAAGCACAGTGAACTGAAATAAAACCAAGCACCTGAAGCTGCCCACAGACAAGAGCTGGCACCTGCATTCTGAAACCACTTGCATTTTCAACACTACTCTGAAACCACTTACATTTTCAACAACGTATCAGTGATACCGGTTCACAAAAGCAAAACAAGCTTTCAAGATAAAAATATAACAATATAATTGCAAACAGCAAGTTTCTTGGAATGTATTTACAAAAGCAAAGCCAAAGCAAACCAGTTTTACTCTAAGAAACACAAATGATCAGACTCAAGAGGAAACAGACCTTCGTCTAAATCCTGTGACACCAAAAGGTTGCCCTGCTTATTTAAGCTTACACAGGTAATCAAGATGAGGCTAGTTTTATTCCTAATAGCAACAGAAAGACTAACTTCAATCAAAATCAGTATCAAGTCAGACTGACATCAAAGACTGACAGTACCCTGACATTTCATGTTAAATCCTTCAGCCCAGAAATATAAATCCCTAGAATTTGAATTGTCCACTGGAATCAGTGGGAATTACATGCCTAGTATCTTGCATATCTGGAACAAAGCAAAAAAAACAGCTTTTAAGATGCAGTCCTGAAAAACATCAGCACTAGAGACTAAGTGCTTAGAAACCTGAAGGCAAAATAACTTCATACTTTTCAAGTCCGTGCCCCGTATCATACATACTCTCACTCAAGTATATAAGGAATTCAAATCTTTATTTGATATCCATAAACCCATAAACGTTTGCTATTCTCTATTTCTATGCAGGAAGGCAGTTTTCCCCTAAAACATTATGCTTTTTAATAAACAACAAACTTCCAATTCTATTGCATGAAAGGGCTACAAATATACATTTGTTAATCAAGCAGACTACACAGAGATTTTTTGCTTTACAGCGGGCACCTACATTGCTGGTACACTTTGCTGGCTCACTTATCACAGCACTTTGCCCACGTAGTTTAGATTATCATTTTGAAACATGGGCAATTGTCATTATTAAAAATCAAAGGAAAGAATAGGTGCTGAGGCAGGCATTGCAAATCCATTCCTTTTCCAGTCTGTACTCATGGAGCCCATCTTTAGTCACATGCGGATGTCACTGCATTCGACACCAGTCATCTAGTGGCATGAAATACCTTTCCAAAGTCTAGTACAATCGTTAGCAAACCACTTTTCCTCCTGCTGTAACGAAGCCTGCAGCAAGGGGGCTGCCATCCTGTCGGTAGATGGTGCTGCGAAAGATTCCTGGGGAACTTTAACGAAGGACAATAGTTCAGAGTGAAAAGTCTGTTAACCCGGTACTATAAAAACAAGTACGCGTTTAAGACGGGATAAATGTCGACCCTTTCCTGGAAGGAATCATACACAGACAAACCGAGAAGAAGACTTGAAACTAAGCAATAGGAAATTCGGAACATTTCGTATGAATGAAACACATGCTTAACACAAACTATTTCTTCAAAACTACACAGTACATACGTAGATGGAAAAAAGTCCTATAGAAAAAACTGACCAACCATGTCAGCAGGTCAAGCCGCCCAGTACAAGATGGTGGATGCACACAAACGGGGGGAGAACAAGGGATTTAAAAACAAACCACATCCACGGGTTAGTACTTCAAAAATTTCTCTGTCGAGCGCCTGAAAGCCAATGAATCCACTAGCAGGGGGTAGCAAAAAAGTCAGTTAGGACCTTTACTGGCAAGAAAATATTCACTCTAGGTACAGAGAGCTCTGAAAGCAGAGAACACTTGCTTCAAACCTACAAAAGCCTTCAAACCGTACGGAATGGATCCTAGGAAAAATAATTAGACATGTAAAAGTCAATGAACACAGTGATTTATTTCAAAAATAAAAAACGTAAAAACGATTTTTTTTTTCCTCCTTTACAGAAATGTTAATTTCAGTCATGGGATCCGAGTAGGTTTTGTAGAAAAAAAAAGTAGGAGCCAGGTATCGAGTCCTTACAACAAAGAAAATTCCCCCATAACCCTTCCCAGTTTTTACTCCAGATCAACAAGACACTCTCCACCCGGTAACCCCCCCCCCCCCCCAAAAAAAAAAAAAAACAAAACAAGACATTTTTCGTTGCTAGTATAAAAACGACCAAGGTCCAAGTAATAATAAAAAAATAGAGTCCATCAATGACTGTAACACAAAGTATGTGTATGTGTGGCCCAGTCCATCTTCAGAGAGAAAGAAGTGGCACAGGCAGCAGAGGCGACCCTCAGGGGGCATTTAGGAGCTGCTCCCACAGCAGGGAGGCATTTAAAAGGAGCTGCCCTTCGGCGAACGAGGGGAGAAACCATTTAGAAGCTGCCCCTTATCAAAGGGAGGGCTTTCCACGCCATCCCCAATAGGTATGGGCGCTCCAGCTCAGAAAGAGCCGCCCCCGTAGCCTCCCCCACCATACCCTCCTCTGTACGGTCCACTGTTACTGCGGCCCCCCCAGTTGCCGCCCCCTCCTCCACCTCCTCCGCCGCTCTTCATGGGGCCGTAGGAGGCCTGATGCTGGTTGTAGCTGCCGAACCCGCCGTACCCGTTGCCGTAGTCGCCGCCTCCCCCTCCGCCGCCACCTCCGTAGGAACCGCTGCCATAGGACCCGTAACCGCCACCGCCGCCGCCTCCTCCTCCACCGTAACCGCCGTAGCTATTGTAACCGCCGCCTCCTTTGGAAAGACCGTTGTGATCCCGGTTGCCGGATCCGCCGCCGCCCCGGCCCCTTCCTCCGCCTCTGCCGCCCCGGGAAGGCCTAGAACCGCCGCCTCCCCCGCCCGACTGGATGTCCTCCTTGGGCACAGCTTTCTTCACCTCCACTCGGTGCCCCTGGATCGGGTGGAACTTGACCACGGCCGCCTTGTCGGCTGCATCGTGGTTCTGGAAATAGACGAAGCCGAAGCCGCGCTTTTTCCCGCTCTGTTTGTCGGCGATGATCTCAGCCTTCTCCACGGGGCCGAACTGGCTGAAATGCTGCACCAGGTCCCCTTCGCCTACGTCCCCTTTGAGGCCGCCCACAAAGAGCTTCTTCACCTTAGCGTGAGCCCCCGGTTTGGCCGAGTCCTCCCGGGACACGGCCCGCTTCAGCTCCACCGCGTTCCCGTCCACCGCGTGGGGCGACGCGGCCATGGCGGCATCGGCCTCCTCTACCGCCGAGTAAGTGACGAAGCCGAAGCAGCGGGAGCGCTTGGTCTGCGGGTTGAGCACGACCACGCAGTCGGTGAGGGTGCCGTAGGCCGCGAAGTGCTCCCGCAGCCCGGCCTCCGTGGTCTGCACGTTGAGGCCGCCAATGAACAGTTTGCATAGCTGCGAGTTCTCCATGCTGCCGCCGGTGCCGGGGCTGCGCCTGGGCCTGGCGCCGAGACTCCTCCTCCTGTTGGGGGGCAGCTCTGACGGCTCTGTCCCCCCCTTCTCCGTCTTGCCGCTTCTTCCCCCTCGCTTACTGCAAACGGCGCTACCTCACGGCTGCGGCAGCCGCCGGCGATGGCTCCCTCAGCCTGGCTCCAACGCCTTCGCTTCGCCTCACCTGACCAGCAGAAGAGTCAGGGGCGTCCCGGCTGCGGCCGCTCCTCCGGAACGGGGGGTGGGGAGGGGGCAAAACACAGACACGCACAAAATGGCGGCCGCGACTCCTCCACAGCTCGGCCGGCGACTGGTGCCCACACAAAGGGGCCGCTGGGAGCCCCGCCTACCCGGCTGCCGCCGCGCACGCCCCCCGCGATGGAGCAGCCAATGAGAGCTGGCAGCCGGAGCCTTCCTCCACTCACCTTTCAGGGGCGGGGCCTCCGGCAGCGATCGACGAGCTCGGCCGCTAATCAGAGGGCGCGACCTCCGCCGCGCGTCGGCTAAAAGCCCGGGGGTTGGACCGTGACAGACGAGGCGGGCAGCCAATAGGGTCGCGAGTGGCGGCCGGTGATGCGGGGTGCCTTCGGTGCGCGCCGAGAGAAGGGGCGGGGCGGGGGCTGCGCCGGTGCGTCCTGCCCGCGGACGTCAGCCAATGGGCGCGCTCCGGCCCCGCCGCGCGCTTTTCTCCCCCGCGGCCCCGCCCAGCGGGTGGTGGTTGGCGGGGGTGGGGGGGTCTGCGGGCGGCTCGCGCGGGAGCGTTTGAAACGCTGACCGTTACCCGCCGCCTCTCGGGACCCAGCGCTGTGCTTACCTCGTGGCCGCGTTCCCTTCTCCGCCCCTGCCGGCCGCAGCCTCGCACCTTCCCCAGCAGCACGGCATCCCAGGGCCGAGAGTTCCTGACGGGCAGCGACGCCTCTCGTCGGGGGTTTTATCCACCCCGTTTTGTCCAGCTTCTGTCTGCTCCCTCCTAGCGTTAGCGTTAGTCCCGCTTTCCAACACAGAATCAATAGGGTCGGAAAAGACCTTCAAGATACCAAGTCCACCACTAACCAGTGTCACTAAGCTTCACGCGCAGGGATGGGCGCTTCACGCGCAGGGACGGGCGCTTCACGCGCAGGGATGCGGGCTTCACGCGCAGGGACGGGGGCTTCACGCGCAGGGATGGGCGCTTCACGTGCAGGGACGGGAGCTTCACGCGCAGGGATGCGGGCTTCACGCGCAGGGATGCACTTCAAAGAACCGAAACAGCCAAAAATACTTTATCACGAAGAAGGGCTCAGGTTCAGCTGCCTCAGCTTTCTGCATGATCCCACGAGTGCTGGTGCTGGCAGGAGGGGAAGGAAGCAGAACTGCAACACCCCCATGGATCACATCATCTCCTGTGGAAAGGCACCCATAGAGACTCACAGACACAAGCGTGACGTTGGCTGCACTGCAAGGGTCGTTAAGCACAGCCCCAGGTGAAGTCCAGAGAGAGTGAACATTCCACACAAAGGTTATTCTGTGTTCCTCTTCAGGTGGTGTCAATACCAGAGATTAACACTGTTGGTGAAATCTGTACTCATTTCTATCAGCTGGCCAAGTTTTCCTGCTTCAGGCTAAGAAGCTGTGATTACCATTAACCACCAGGATTAATGCTTGCAGTAGAGTAATCTGATTTTTCTTAAATTGAATTCTTTTATAGCCAGGTATTAAGAGCAACTTATTAATATGACAGGAATATTAAATGTCTCTGTGTGACAGCCACTTACAGGGAAAGATGTCATGTGTTTAGATCCATTTATCTCCATGCATGGACATCATAATTTTATCTATTTTTAGAGAAGAGAATATGTCCATAATGGCACTGGAATACTTGTGGGTTTAAAACAAACAAATCCCACTCTATTAAAAAGGACCCAAAGACCTCCCTCCCAGAGGCCATCTGCAAGCTCCTTACAATTACAGGAAATACAAAAATACATTTTGCCCACCACTTACTGTAAAAAACTGTGTGTCCCTTCCAAAGATGAATTAATATCTGCTTCATAGAGAAAATAACCCACGAGAGTTTTATAGACGCTTAATAATTTACAGCGAAAGGAAGAAACATTAAGAGGAGCTAATTCTGGCCTCAGTGGGTAGCAGAGAGAACAGAACACTTGTTTATGACTCACTTTCTCTCCCTGAATGCAAGACAGACAAGTAGGCCAGGGAAGAGATCAAAGAAAGTCACTCCTTTCAGCAGGAGAAGATGAGGGTCTTAAAGATGTGAGCAAATCCCTGACACAACTTAAGTATAAAACACAGCCCAACTGCTTCCTTTTCTGTTTGCACTTCTGACTGGTTGATTTAATGAAAGGAAAACACCTCTAAAATACATATACCCATGTCTTGCAGATAGAAATGTCTCCTCTGATAACCACAGAACAGCCAAGGGCTGCTTGACTTGGTGTCCTCCTGTCCACTGTCCCTTCCCAGCTACCGTGTAAGTGACCTCATGTAGTTCATGGACTCACGTTCAGTCCCCACACTGGAAGGGCCAAGCTCACTGCACGTGTACATGTGCCCTGACACATACTACCAGGCTTCAGCAATGCAGGCTGTCCCAGTCAGCTAAACAGGAGTTCCTCCTGCACATATCCCACAGACTCATAGCAGCTCACCTGAGCCACCACAGAGACTCCAACCAATCCTCTCCAGTTTCTGTTGGATTCATGCCTGGTCAGCATGCCAGGTCATTGTTGTACACATTCCTATGAACTATGTGCCTTTACGTGCTCCTGAAATGTGCCTTTTCCCTCTACAGCTGCGTCAGCCACTGCAAGCGCGACCTACAACAAGTACTGTAGTGATAGGACAAGGGGTAATGGGTTAAAACTTAAACAGGGGAAGTTTAGATTGGATATAAGGAGGAAATTCTTTCCTGTTAGGGTGGTGAGGCACTGGAATGGGTTGCCCAGGGAGGTTGTGAATGCTCCATCCCTGGCAGTGTTCAAGGCCAGGATGGACGAGGCCTTGGGTGAGATGGTTTAGTGTGAGGTGTCCCTGCCCATGGCAGGGGAGTTGGAACTGGATGATCTTAAGGTCCTTTCCAACCCTAACTATTCTATGATTCTATACTGCAGCGTGAGTGCAGAACCAAAGAACGAATCTCACACTGGGCACGTGGGATGTGACAAGCCTGCTAAAACAGACAACACCCCAACACCTACAGCAGTTTCTCCACCACATATTCAATTTGCTTTTAACTACATATGAGTAAATGCATAATACGTATTTCAAATTCCTTAGGCACACGCCATTGAAAAGGAAATACATACCTTTCCCTCATGACAGGGCAGTCACAGCATTATATTGTTTCCACTGTGATAGCAACCTTTAGAATAAAAATTCATTGCAAAAGCAGTTTAAGTTTCTAACACAGGTAAAAGCTCCACCTGTATCATCACCTAAAGAAAATGTGTTTCTCAAATGAAAGGCACTGGCCAAACAATACATGGTGTTAAAGGGCTTCTAGGGATACTTTAGTTGGCATTGGAGTATTGGAAGCAAACCCATGGCATTTTTATGTGTGAAATATTCCAGTTATTCCAGTAGAACTCATACTACCTAGAGTCCACAGGAGGGCATCACTGCTCAAGAGATCATAAAACAGGCAGCTGAACAGTGCCTTCCAGGGTTAGGCTTCCTGTGATATCACATACTGGTTAGTAAAAGCTCATACAAAATCAATTATTAAGGAAGTAATATTTTAATCATCTAAACCCTTGTAGAAACACAAAGTCATACGCTTTTAATTTGCTTCAACCTCTTTAATCTAGCCTGTATCAGTGTGGCTGGCTTCCATAATCAACAAGTATTGACTCACTCTTTCAAAACAATTGAAGTTTATCAACTGGACTTTTTGTATGTCTGGTTAGTATAGTGCAATGTTCTAGATTTAGGTCTGGTTTTACCTTTCAACAGACTAAGAACATTATCATTGATACGGATTTCATCTTGATTTTTCTAAATATACATAGGTGGAAACGGCTGGAAATAGAGCAGGTTCAACCATCATTATCCCAATCACTCTGAGACCCACACACTTTCAGGCAAGGATTTTTAATCTCCTCATTTCAAACAGCTATTACTAGACTTGTAGAAGCCTCCCTCCTACCTAAATCATCCCCTCAGGCAGAGAGTAATTTTGCAATTCATAGGAAGACATATTTAATAAAACATGCAGCAGCACCACCGACTTCCCCATCCTGGCCCCTGGCTTTAGCCGAAAGTCTGAAGAACTTAAAAGAGATAAAACAATCCTTGAGAGAGCTCTTGCTTTTTTGGCAATAGATGTATCTTTCTCTCTGTTCTGCTGATTGCACTTGTATCCACATAAACACCAACCTGTGATCTCACTTTTGAGGCTAGCATGAATTAGCACTGGTTGGGAGAGGCTTTTAATTGAAAAGATTGATGAACATGCACTGAGAGAAAGCTAGATAGTCTTTTGCTACCTGAAGTTTGAATATGAGACTCTTCAGGATAAAGATTTCTCCCTAGTGCAAATTCAGATGGGGAATAAACCATTGCCCCTCTCTTTTATTTGCTTAATACAATATAAGATATTCTACAGGAAAAAAGAGTAACTACAGAATAACTCACAGGAACTATTTCTCAGTAAGTAGTTTCAAAAGTTCATCTTACTGAACAAAGCCTTCCCTGAGCCCTTTGTAGGGGGAGTGTGCTGAAAGAGAGGAACACACCTTTGTGAAGGGTGAAGAAGAAAGACATCAGAGAACTGAATTCACATCTTTTTCTTTGGAATTACAGTACCATTTTTCCTTAAATCCTGCCTCTCTCCTCTTCTCTCTGAAGCTCAATTTCTCTTTTCCTCTTTCATCTCTTCACTTTTCTGTCATAATTGATGATTTCCTTTCTTCTCTTTCCTAAAAGTTCGTATAAGATCAGGTCATAATTTGCAGTGATAGGATGAAAGTAAGACAGCAAAACTGCATCTCAAAAGTCAAGCTTCTCGTCGTAAAGGATCAAAGAACCCAGCAATGCTGGGACAGATGCAAGAGGGTACATCTTTCACTGTATCTTAGTCCAAGGCAGACCAGGATCATAAGTTTTGCCACAGGAAGACCTGGAGCCAGCAGTGATCTCAGCCATGCTCTGATCTTTATTCATCTGCAAATCTTTCTTTATGTATTTTCCACTTAAAATCTATTTGCTTTTTTTTCCCTTGCCTATTCCTAGTTCCCATCTATTTCTTGTTCACAGAGCCTCTGTAGGGTGGTGGGGTTTTTTTGTGGTGCTGCTGCATGACTGATATTCAGCTTTGCTTGCAAACAGCAGGAAGAGTTATGCTATGAAGTACCTGAAATTAGCTGTAAGATATCCCTGCTATTCAAGAAGTTTTAGAACTAGGTGCGTAAAAGCCAGGCTTTCTAGACACAAAACAGCAACCTAGAATTCATATTTTTCATTCAGAAAAGCAAAACTGTCATCACAGTTTGAAACACGCAGGGACATTGAAACAGACTGAGATTAACAGGAAACCCCTTTTGATTAGTTAAATATTCCTTCACTAACCATGAGGACAGTGAAAGATGCTGTGGCATGAGAACAGCAGGGTTTGGTGCTCACTGTGCTGTAGAATAAAAAATAAGAGATACAAATTATCATATTCCCCCAAAATCTATGAGCTATTGGAATAATTCATTCTTTGGCAGAGATGACTCTGGGGAAACATCAGCTGGAGAAGTTCTAGAGAGCTACAAAGGATTGAATCAGGGTTTGGACAGTGGAAACTATTATACAGTCTGAATTAATGCTGTCACACTCCTATTACAATTACTCACATCTTATCTAGTTTTCAGTAAGAAAAGTAACTTGGCTGAACCCAAAAATAAAGATGCTAACCTTCCAACCAGAGAGTATCGATCTTCATCTCAACTGTGTGCCAGCTGAAAGCTCATAGCATAATATGTTTTAAATGAACATGCTATTATAAGTAACTCATTTAAAGTTAAAGCACATTTTCAAACAGTTGACTTTTCATTATAGGCATGACCTAAATTGAGATGTATGGACCAGAATGAAACCTTAAGGATATTGCAAAGCCGTTCTCTAGAGCTATGCAATACCATGGAGTGAGAATTAAACTCCAGGTAGTGAAACCAAGTGATTTTTATGATCTTTTCCAATTAGGAAAAAACTGCCAAGTTATGGAGCAGTGCACCCACTTACACACAGATATCAATCCTTCTTCGTATTTACTGTGCATACATAGCTGGCATCCAGATATTGCTAGTTTGGTCATATTATAATCCATTTGCTGAAGACAAATAGGGAGTTGATCTCTCCATCAAGCAGGAAAGTGAGAAGGGGCTGTGGTTTTCCTCCATCATAACATATTATCTTACTTTATGGACACCATCTAGCACATCTGACACTAACATAAGAGATTTCCAATTATTCTTGCTTCTTTCTCTGTGCCTCTTTGAAGTGCTATAAAGAATAATAGTTATGAGGAAGAACTGTTCCAGATCCTTCACAGGTGTTATGAGTCACTGAGCCAGCTCTTAGCCAGACTGCTATTAAAGAACTCTTACACCTAGGAAGCTGAGAAATCATATGTATACATCTCTACTACACCTTGCTTTCTGAAGAAGGGAGCTGCACCAAGAGTACCCAGCCACCAGCAACAATTCCTGCTCAGCAAGGAATCGTGTAAAAGCCAAAGCAAAAGGTGAGCTCAAAGGACTTGCATGTTAGAGAATCTTTTCACCAACAGACTGTTGCCAACACAACAAAAGTTGCAAACTTAAAGCTGAAAAACTGTTTATTATGGCACCTGATCATTTACCCTGACTTTCCACACTGCCCGTAGTCTGGATGCCAGAACCCGGTAGCCAGAGTAATAGCATACCTTTACTGCAAGAAGATGAGATGTGGACCCCGTTTACTATCAGCTGGCTGGTTTAGATGATAGTGCCCCAAGCTCTGTGCTTGTAATGGTTAATTGCTGCCTGGTTTAAAACTGGCTTGGGAACATTTACACAAGCAGAGCTCATGCCTCAAGCTGCTGTACAACCAGATGCTTGGAAAACATGTTCCAATTGATTTCTATATGAATATCATGCCTGGCAGGCTTTTAGGATCAGGCATTTATTGCAATGATTGTGCTAAGGTGATAACCTATTTAATGATTGGCATTCAGTATAGTGACAATCAACACACTTTTGAGGTTTCCTATTCCCTTGTTTGCTTTGCAAACTGCAACAGAAATCCCTAATAAAACTCTTAAAATCATCCCACAACTGCTACCATTTCCTATGATAGAGCCATCTCTGAACTGCTGAAACCCCACAAGGCAGCGTTTCTAAATTCACACTGGACATTGCCAAGCCAATTGCAGCTTTATCTGCAATATGTTTTAACTTTTTGTTATCAGGTTATGCAGAAAGTTTGCTTCCCATTACAGCTGCAGTCCTGCCTCCCCGTCAGTTATCAGAGTCTACTGATAAAGGCTATTTTTTCATCATTTAATATTGAGCAATTTAGAAATATCCTGATTATTTATATAAAGCAAACACAATTCTGCTGTCCATCAGCCTGTTTTACAAACAGGCACTACAGCGTTTACCTACCCGGCTATAGATTCCACTTTGCATACATACCTTTGACATCAGGCATAAACAGACCAAGAGCTGCTACACCCAGAAGCCTCTGATGTCAGATGTGACCTTATTCACACCAGGTTACAACAGAACTAAAGCCACAGAACGCAGCAGATTGACATGGATGTAAAACCAAGGGGTTCACACATTAAACACTTCAGTCTTCCCATAGAAGGAGGACTGCATACAGTGTTATATTAGAACCAGAGGTCTGTATAAATAAGCAGCCTGCCCTTTGTTTGACATGTATAAATGGAATCAGAACATCTAATTTTCTCAATTTATTTCCTTTATAAACAGATAACGCATTTTTATGGCTGGTTCTGATGTGTACCTAGGATGTTGCATGTTTAGGTCCTGATCAACTTCCTGGGTTACACTGCAACCAGAAGCAGTTCTGAAGCACATTGGGAAAGCTTTGTTGTTCCAGTATTTTTGACATAATCAAAACCAGCAAGTGCTAGAAATGTTATTAGGAAAGTCCATTCACATTGCTGGATTGTAGCATTTTGGTTAAATTTTCTGAATATAAAGCAATGGGCTTAAAATGAAGGAAATTTTAGGGGCAATGTCTTCCTAACAGTAAATCAGGCACTTGAATACCTAATTTTGGATTACCACAGGTGTTTAAAAACAGGCTAGACAAACACAGCATGAACAGATACAAACATACTAGAAGCAGGAGGTTCATCTGATCTCAGAGGCTCCCTCCACCTCTATATGACAACTACAAGCATGACAACTAACAATATTTGGGGGTAATAAGCTCTTACCTGCACTTTAGTTACAGCATCAGTCTCATTCATCCCCCAAATCCTACTGCTTTTCAAAATCATCCCCTCAAAAAACACTCAAGACCCAGTAAGACAGACTCAAGTGCTCTCAAATGCTTTGTCTGAAGGTTCCTACTTCTCTAATTTAATAGGGAATTTTCTCATCTAGTTTTCCTGAGTCTGTCCCACACAAACACATTCTAACTCTGGACTATTTGCTGCCTTTCCTAGTACTGGAGAGCCACAGAGTGGTTCATATGAGACTGAGATACTGGGGGTTAAGAGGACCCAGGTAGGAATTCAGAAGTTTAAACAGCAATGTACCAAATAGCACATCCTAAGAATAAACCAGTTCCTTTCCTGTCCCATAAACATTCACTCTAAATATTTAATAAGGAAATGTTAAATGCTGATTCTTATAAACAAGGGACTATAAAAGCTATACTGGGCTTTTACTGGAAAAGCTGATAATACTAAAGCCCCTTTTCAATATGTGCTAGTGTAATATTCAATGCTTCGCTTTTCAGGAAGATTTTTATATCTCTGGAGTGTAAGCTAAAATAGCAATTTATAATGAAAATACCATTATCTTAATTGCAGTAGAGCAAATAATACATTTAATAAGATGTGCATGCCCTTTCCAGGCAGCTTACTGTGTTTTCCTGTCTCCCTCAGTTAAGAAAGCAATAAGCCATCTGCAGATGTTTACGTATGAAATCCAGCACAGGGAAAACATTTGCACTGCGGAGCAGATAAGATAATTGAAAATGAAATGGCAAGATAAGGTGTTTGACAGGGTGGAGGGAATCCATCCCCGTGACTCCTGGTCCTTTCTCCTCCCTGCTCATCGCTGTTCGCCTCTGCCTGGATTCCAGAGCCTGGTTTATTCCTCAGCAGCCTCCCAACAGACCGGTGGATTCAGTCGCAGCTGGAAATAGTGGAAGTGTGGATTGTTTCAGGAAGAGAAGAAAGGGGAGTTTAAGTATTGCTTTAGCAGCAGATGGCTTTGCTTCCGATCCTTTCATGCACAAAGGAGACGTGTGTGCTGGCTTGGTAACCAACTCAAAACGGGAAAAGATCAATTGGTAAAGGCAGTGTGGATTTGACTTGAATTTTGCATCAGGTAAGAAGTCAGAGAATCCATGCAACTGTGGCAAAAGTTACTGAAATACAGCTTTTGAAGGATTGTTGTAGTCTGTACATCCTGTATTTAAAACTGAATAGAAAGTTTCCTCCGCATTTTATCTGTGCACCACTTTGGAACTGAATAAACAGATGATGTTTGCAACTGAAATATTCACTGGTCACTCTGAAGGGATGGGACTATGCATCTTTAACATAGGTAAGGAAATACTTAGCAAAGAAAGCCTTTTAAAACTCATTTGAATTTTAGACACTGCTTTTAACTTTCTTTTGCTTATGCATGTTTCAGTAATGTTTCTGCATCCAGAGGAATGAAACGAGTAGGTTAATTTTATCATTTCCTCATCATATACTCTTAGTATAGTAAGGAATCTTTTTCCAAATGCATGGATTATGGATGGAAGTAATTGGTTCTCTTATTAAACAATCCGGCTCTGATATCAGCTGTAGTTCAAGGATACTGATCCCACTAGTATTTATTAGCTTAAACCAATGCCAGTATGTATTACAATGTAGTTCATCATGCTGCAGTAAGTACTTGTGTACCTTATTTACCTAATGCTGTGAATACTCCAGATTTTTAAACAGGACAAGTGTAATAGTTTTATTGCCAAAGAAATGTTTAAATTGCCTTGCAGGATGACATGTACTAAAGCTACACTTTTAGCTCACAGTGCAAACCAAACAGTGACATTAAATTAAGCTTTTTGCTGAAAAAAAGGACAATGTAGATGATGAGTGTGCCTAAAGCTGATCTACTGAGTGAGCTGATCAGAAGGCAGCTCTACCTACCATTTGCCTAATGATGGAAAGTGCCAAAGAAGCCCTGCACCCACACTGAATTACTGGGAGAGGACATTCATCACTTCCCATCAAACCATCTTATGCAAGCGGAGATAAATAAGCAGGCATAGCAAATAGTGCATAAAATATTACAAACCTGGCTCAGCCTCCTGTCCTTTGAGTCCCCACAGCTTCTCCTGCTCTCATAGAAAGCAGGGAAGAGCAGAGCTTGTCTTTGAAGCTGTCTTGCTTCCAAGCCAGGTCCCCTGCTAACACCTGATCTTTCCTCAAAGGGCAGGGCTCAGATCTGGGCGAGTCAGGTGAATACCAAAGAGAAAGATCACCCTTGGGATAAAGCAGCCAGACTTTAAACCCTCACACATCTGAAGTGGCTGCAAAGCTCATCAGAGTGACATTTATCACTGCTTGGCCTCTTATCCTTCCAGCACATGCATCCTTCTGTCTGCTGATAAATCCAGCCAGGCAATTAGTGCTGCTCCAGGGAAAAGTGGATTATAGGATGAGTATCACCTGAAGGTGCTGTTGCCCAGCCACAGCATTGGTTTCTCCAGGCTGTGACTGTGCTGGCTTCAGAGTCCCTTTCATTTCTCATGGACCCATTAGGAGGGGAGTTTTTGCAAGCTGGTGCACACGCTGTAGGGTACATAGTTCTTGTGCTTGTCCTACTGAAGCAGGGGCACCTGCAAGGGACTACAAAGTCTATCTAAGCCACTAGACTTCAACAGCTATTGCAGCATGACTGTACAGGTTTTGTGCCATGCCCTCAATATAGCTGTGGCCATGCTGGGTGGGTTATTTAGGGAGACTTAGGCTTAATGTTGGCCCCTGACCACAAAGTCACAGCAGGGAACATCAGGTCCACATGTATAGCTACTGCCATTTCTCACCCCAACATGACTACAGTACTTAAAAAGTATATTTCAACCAGAATGAGAGTGGTAATAGATGCTCCAAAGCTGGTTGTGTTGGTTTGGATACTTCTTTTGCAAAAGTATCAGGATAAAGCAGTCCAGGGTGTAAATCTAGCTGGAATATTCTTTCAATGCCTGGGGGTAAATAGTTAGAGAATCATAGTTGCCAGTTTAACCCTGGATTTGGTGTTTAACCTCATGCAAGCAACCAAACAGTTTTATTCATTAGTGATTAAATAAGGAATTTAATTACTATTAATTAATCACAGAATCATAGGATCACAGAATAGTTTGGGTTGGAAAGAACCTTGAGATCATGAAGTTCGAACCCCCCTGCCATGGGCAGGGACACCTCACACTAAACCATACAACCCAAGGCTTCGTCCAACCTGGCCTTGAACACCACCAGGGATGGAGCATTCACAACCTCCCTGGGCAACCCATTCCAGTGCCTCACCACCATAACAGGAATTTCCTCCCTTTATCCAATCTAAACTTCCCCTGTTTAAGTTTTAACCCATTACCCCTTGTCCTATCACTACAGTCCCTAATGAAGCGTCCATCCCCAGCATCCCTATAGGACCCCTTCAGATACTGGAAGGCTGCTATGAGGTCTCCACGCAGCCTTCTCTTCTCCAGGCTGAACAGCCCCATCTTTCTCAGCCTATATTCATATTGGAGGTGCTCCAGTCCCCTGATCTATTAATCTATTAAAATTAATAGATTAATTTAATAATATATAACATTAATTAGATAAAATAATTAGAAATAATTTCTATTAAAAGGTTGATAAATCTTCTACACCTAAGCAGGTTATTTCTAGTAATAATGAAACATCCACCTATCCCTTCTTTTTGTGCATTCCTATTGCTTTCCTATTGCTTCTTCACCCTCCTTTCTCCACAGCCTCTCAAAACTCTGGTATTTATTACTAGGGGTGAAGCATGACCTCCTGCCAGCTAGTTTTCCAGTAATTCCTACTTCAAAAAGGAATTAAGGTGAGTTACAATTGAGTTTTGAAAGGTGGATGTATAGAACCTGCTTATCCCTTGTTTCAAGTTCAAAAGTAATGCTTTACATCCTTCTTTTTTCCTTTCCCAGGTTGGAAACAACCTCTTTCTGGCCAGAAAGCTGGTGAGCCTTTCATTTAAGATTAACTTCTTTCCTCAGTGAGAAATTCAAACCCACCGAGATACTCTGCTGAACCTAATTCTTCCCATTAATAGCAGTTTCATAACAACAGAACTGTACTAATATCAGAAGTGTTGCTTGACACATGTTCAAGTGTGAATTGAAGGAGGAATCAATTGGGGGTCTCATATGTCAAACTTGTGAATGGTGTGCAGGGAAATGAGACAGCCTTTGGCAGCTACTGATATGGCAATAATTGTGTGTGTAACTGAGGTGATACCTGTTTGCTTTATATTTGTCTCAGATTACATTGAGCAAAGAGGACATACTACCTGTAATACACAAGCAGAACAGGAGACTCCTTTAAATATGTAATTCATTGGGGTGTTGAATATCCCATAAGCTAAATCAGACGTCATTTTGATTAAGCCAGAGGGAGTTGGGATTTTAGCTCACGTCACTTTCTAGTTCTAGAGACAACGTAAGTGTGATGCCTAAGCTAGCAACATGATGGCAGAACCCAATTCTTTCTTGATAATGGAAAAGCAACAGATTATCCTCATTGGAATTCCTTAAAGCTTGCTAAATCTTTGGCTGACACAGATCTTCAGACATTGTATTTTGAAAAGCAAAGTTTGTCGACAGTTGTAAAGGGGGATTTGTAGCAAAACGTTCACACAAGTTTAATCAGAGCTATCATTGCTGTTTCTTATATGTCACAATCATTACAGGTCTGTAACACTGTCAGTGCAGAACCTGCATCAACCTCCATCCATCTATATACACAAAACCACTAATACCCAACCACTGGCTTCCCCAGTGCTGTAATTAGATTTGCTGAAAACTAACTAAACTAAACTAACTAACAAAAAAAGGGCATCAACTGCAACGAGAGACTCACGTCAATCATTGCCTTGGAAAGCTTAATACAAAGTACATTCTAAATAACACTAGGTTTTGTTCACAGGACGGGAAATGCTTCATGATGGATAAAGCCATTCAGGACCCCAGCAAGATTCTGGCTAATCAGACTATCTCCAACATCAGCTATTCTCAGTTCTTGAACTTTGACACGTGCCAGCCCTCCTTCCTTGCAGAATCCTTGCTTATTACAGCCTACACATTAGTTACAATCGTGGGGCTTTTTGGAAATCTTTGCCTGATTGTTATAATAAAAAGAAGGAAAGAAGCTCAAAACGTCACCAATATTCTGATTGCCAACCTCTCTTTATCAGATGTCTTGATCTGTATCATGTGTATCCCTGTCACAGTTGCATATACCTTAATGGACTATTGGATATTTGGGGAAGCTATGTGTAAAATAAGTTCCTTCATACAAAGTATATCTGTCACAGTCTCCATTTTCTCACTTGTATTGATTGCTATTGAGAGATATCAGTTAATTGTGAACCCCCGTGGCTGGAAGCCTAATATTTCACATGCTTACTGGGGAATTCTTTTCATCTGGGGGTTTTCCCTTGTAATATCCATTCCTTTTTTAATATTTCACCAATTAACTGATGAGCCCTTCAAACACTTGTCTTTCCATAGTGATTTCTACAAGAACAAAGTTGCTTGTATTGAAGCATGGCCATCAGTTACAGAAAGACTCATTTTTACCACTAGTCTGCTGGTTTTCCAGTACTGCTTCCCACTGGGGTTTATTTTTATCTGTTATCTCAGGATATTTGTATGTCTTCGAAGGAGACACGGGAAAATAGACAGGATGAGAGAGAATGAGAACAGACTGAGTGAAAACAAAAGGATTAGCGTGATGTTGGTATCAATTGTTGTGACTTTTGCAGCTTGCTGGTTGCCTCTCAATGTGTTCAATGTGGTTTTTGACTGGAACTACGAGGCACTAATGAGCTGTAATCATAATCTAGCATTTACAATATGCCACCTCGTGGCCATGATCTCAACGTGTGTCAATCCCATCTTCTATGGGTTCCTCAACAAGAACTTTCAGAAGGACTTGGTAGTATTAGCTCAGCACTGCAGATGCTCAGCGTCAGAAGAGGTATATGAAAACATTGCCCTTTCAAATCTCCAAACTGACGCATCAAAGGGATCTCTGAAATTAAATAATCCCCCTCTGGAGATCTAGAACAATCCAACAGGTTCTGAAGTCTTGCCCTTTGGTGCAGATGACCACTTTCTGTAGGTCTAGATCATGTCATCACTGAGTTTAGAGGATGCTGTTGGCATTTAGTTCAGCAAAAAGAGGATTATGCTCCCATAGGCACACTCTTACGATGGTATTAATGCTAATAAAACCACCTCCAAGAGTGCTAAGATTAATAATAATGAATTATAAAGAGTATTCACCTCTTTTTTAATCCACAATTTCCAAGTCATTGGCATGCTACCTTAGCACTGCTAAAAATATTTCTATTTCAGCCCCTGATGCAGTCGTCCTTCATTAACACCCCAGGAAACCAGGAATACTGCAGCATTCCTAACTGCATCAGCCTTCTCACTGTCTCCTGGCCTTTTGATTTTCTGCCCCTCCACTGTTCCCACCTCTGGTTGATCTGTACTACAGTTTATAGCCGTTCACGGAGTAAGGAAGGCTCTTGGAGTTATCCTAAGCCTCCACTGTCTTGCTTAGTCCTTACAGGAGAAGTAGTTTTAGTGTCAGGCCCCAGGTGGTTTAAAAACAGCCACAAAATGAGCACTAGACTAAATTATATGGTCAGTGGGGCAGCAGAAACTCTTGCGGCCTTATGGGAGGGACAGGGCTGCTGACAGATGATCTCCCTTTAGTGCCTCTCCCTACAAGTGCTCAGGCAGTGCGTTTCTGTGGCATTAAACAGCAAAGTTATAAAAGGCTGCCACTGCTCTTTGTAGCACCAATTGTCTGCCCCTGACACCCTGATCAGAGTGAAGCAATCAGTCTTTCCACTCTGAATCCTGGTGTAAGAGGGTTCTTCGTTAGCAGGTGGAAGCTCTCTGAGCAGTGAGACCGCTTCAGAATCCAATGTGAATCATTATACTTGTGCCTTGATTTCTTATCATTTCTTTCTTACGCTCTCATCCGACTCAAGTGCTGATGCTCCATTTCTGTTCCGAGCTTTCAGCTATCAAGTATGTCTTTCCTTAATGCTGCACTTTAAAAATCATTGCTAACTGAAGAGAGTATCAAGGACATCACCTTCGCGCTGCATGTTCTCTCTTTACATCCACTGGCTTTGCACTCAGTCTGATGTCTAATTTCCAGACAAGTCAATAGGAGAGAATTGAGTTTGGTAGGAACAAGAACAGCCAAAAAGAAGTTAATACATAAGTATTATGGACTCCAACATGGTGTGTGATGGGGATGTACGAAACTGCAATATCCAATACTCAAAGAGTGATCAAACCTAATATTAAACTGACAACTGTTGCCCTGTGTTGGGTAATGCCAGTAACTTTATTTTCCCTATTTTACTGGTATAGCAACCGGATAAAATTATAACAGCCTTCCTCATGACACTTGATGCAACCAGCTGGAGGACTGTGAGCTTCCTTAGGGGAGCAGAAACATGGAATTAACCATGGAAAGCTGGAGGGAGAACCTGAGCTCCAGAATCTCATCCAAATGTACCAACGACCTCCTAGCAGTGGTGGGTTTTTAAAACACCGCATCTGAGTGGTTTGGTCACATAGACCAGACCAATGTACTTATAAACATCCTTGTGAATGAATACATCCTTACATGTATTTGTATTTTGTGGCTGATTGGGCTAACTGTAAGCACACATAACTAGAGTCAGTTACTCAGAAAGTGGCATTCCTTGTGAAAACAGTCCCATTGAATGGAGAACTCAATTGATTATTGACTGTAATCGTGTACGTGGACAAAAGCAGTGCCATTGCTGTGTGTTAGTTAAATGCTTTGATTCCTCCTGTCTGTGGACAAATAAACATTACCCTGCATGAAACTGCTGCGGTGCCCAGCTGTTAGAGTTTGCTGTCTATAACACTGATAGGGCAGTTCTCATACAAACAGTTCTGGGAACCGGTTTAGCATTGCACATGTTCACTCATCAGATAAACAGAGACCAGTGAACAATTAGATATTTGCTGGTTTCAGAAGAGAGGAGGACTTAAAAACAGGTCGAAATCATCCCGAGGCTCATGGTGCTCACACACTTTATGCTGGAAAAGGACAGAATCATTAACCAGGGAGGTTTCAAGTGAATTTGTGCCTCAAGGGCAGAGCAACTTTTCACTCTGGTACTTTATAATCTGCACTCAAACACAGTCGATGTGTTTGCAGTTCTGTTTCCTCAGACATTTTGCAGACCTGTGCCATTTGTCAGAGTGGAAGTTTCCCTTCAGCAGCTCATGGATCTGAACTGCAGCACAAACACTGACAGAGCTCTTCTGCACGCTGCACTGCAGCCCGGTTGGTGCAGAATCATTTCCAAAGCAGCATCTACTACTGTGTTTGAATTCATCAGTACCTAAGCAGGAGAAAGACACTTGTGATTTTTCTTGCTTAAGCCAGAATGTTCACACCACGTTTGGCTGCACTATCAATATTTTATCACATGCCATCAAAACTCCTGGGATTTAACAGTAACACATCACTGGGACAGATTCCAGCCTGGAAGATGAGACGCTTTTATTTTACCCAGCCCTCATCCACTGCAAGTGACAAATGATACCCGGGTTCTATTTCTTGCATCATATATTGTAAAGTCACATCACAGCTGCAGCAAGGCAAGAATAATTCCCTCTGGTGTGACTCTAAACTAACACTGCACCAAACTGCCCCACAACAGGTAGAATCCTGACAAACACCGGAGCTGAGTTTCAGGGAGGTGGATTTTGCATCCAGGAAGTGTCTGAATCTTACCCGGATTCTAGAAGGAAATCAAAGGTATGGCAAGCAACTACATACTTATAGAAATGTGTCCACAAAAGGCAATCCCAATGAGTTGTTTTACACCATGGTTCTTTTTCAGCAAGCTCTGCTCTGTGCCTCTGAAGCACCTCTTGATTTTAGCCTACGTTCCTATAGAAATGAACTTTATACCATTATGTTCCTGTCCTTTGATCCCAATAACATTTGAGCCAACCTTAACCAACTTGGAAAGAGAGTAAGTGTTTCATGGGTTATTACACCCGTGTCTTTGGGAGGATAGTGGCTGGCAAGAAGACAAAACGCAGGGTGCCAACCCCTGCTGAAACACCATATACATACCTTCTTACTTGAGTTCTAAATGTTATTTAATGGAAATAAAATAAGATTTGGCTTTCAGGGGAAAAAAACATCCTTCACATTCACAAACTCACCTCTTTTTTATCTCAAGTCCCCACTTTCCCCAGGCCCATCCCAGCAGATGAATGACAAACCAAGCCAGTAGGTATGTGTGAACTTTGCTTCACCATGTAAATATCTCATTTTCTTCTTCATTGTTTTGAGCAGTACTCAGAGAGGAGAGCAAGTCTATAGCAAAGCTTTGAGTAAGCTCACAGCAAAGGGTCAGATGGACTGCAGATGTACTTTGTGGAACCTCATAGACTGCATACATACAAAACAACACTGTCCTTTCAAATCTATGCTAATAAGACCCTTGAATATGTTCCACAATGGCAACCTTAGAATTATCTTGTCTGCTATCACTCAATTTTAAACAAGGCTCCTTTGGCATATTGCTTGGTTTCCATGCAAATGCAGACTGATGTCTTTTATTCCATTTCATAGGCTTCTCTGTTAGTCACAGGCTGTTTGCATAATGTGATGGAATTGGCACCTGTGTGGAGCTGTTCTCTGTGCAGAATTCATTTCACTCTCATACCTAGTGAGGAAAACTTGTTAATCCATGTAGATGACAAGGCTATAACAGCGACACACATTAGTTTTTCCTACCAAGAATGGCTGCTAGTGTCAGAAGCAGCTCCCAGAGTTTGGGGTCCCTCTAAAGAGAATTGCTTATACCCCCTTTCCAGCTCCAGTTTTAGGTTGGAAACTTCTGCAGTGCAACTATTGCCATAAGTCAGCAAATAATCTTGTAACATATCCAGGCCTAATATCCCACTATTTGTAAAGCACATCTTTCTCAGTCTACCTAGCCAGGCTGCCAGCACGGTGTGGTACCCTGTGCATTTCAGATAGCTTTTAGTGTCTTACTGCCTCTAGCTTTTCATCCACAGACCTTTCTGACTGTGAGAGCAGGACGAGTTCTCACTTACACCAAATACACTCCTGCACTGATTAGGAGTCAGGCTTAAAGAGCTCCTCCTTGGGACTTGTATCACCGGATATCTGGCTTTCTCCTGAGCTCTCCATAGGGTTATTCCTGCAGGCACCCCCTGTGTCCAGCTCTTTGTTGAGCAGGAACTGTGGGAAATGTCACACTCCAGCAGTTCTGAATGCTGCCATCCGGGTTAGTGACCGTAAACGTGATGGGGAGAGAGCGCATTCTCCAAGGGCATCCGCAACCTCTGAGCACTGCAGAGCCTCCTGCCAACCAGTGTCAGACCCCACACTTGATGGGCAGAAAACCATAAACCTGAGGCATATGAGGGGAAATCCATGTTGTGATGTGCTCTTTATTAACTAAAGTTACCTTTACATCAAGTTGATGGCATGCACATAAAACCATCGACATACTACACTGAATTGGAGTCCTGTGACTGACTGGGAACACAAGCTGCTGGCTTCTAATTAAAGAAGTTGAGGCTCCTTTGAAAGCTGGCCACAGAATTAGTATTGAATCCAAAAGCACAGTCCGAGTTGACTGAAAGGTCAGCCGCAGGGAGACTGTTTGATGGTCCAGGAAACCCAGGCTCTGGCACTACATTTAAATGAAACAATAACAAAAAGGCATTCTGGAAGCCTTTGATGAACAATAAGGTTTTCTCAACCCATCCCCATCATGCAAACAGACTAAGCAGGGAGGTACTGAGGGCGTTAGGGAAGAAAACCCCAACGATCACATGAGCCCAAGCATCCTGTTAAACCTCACTTCTTTAACCACTGAAATACAGCAGAAATCAAATATCTCAAGGGAAAAGTAACTCTTGTTCTCATCAGCACCATTTCCTTTGCTGACTCATCAATCTACAGAGTTCATCAGCTTGGAGTCCTCACCTCTTTCCAAAAGGAAAATACCCGGTGTACAAAGTGTTGTACTCCCATCGAGTGAAAAGGCTGTGTGGAATTAAACACTTCCAGTACATGTTTGCAAGGAGGGATCTGCAGCAGCTGTACGAAAAGCATTTGAGAATAGCAACACTAAATGATGAACAGAACCAAATCTTGAACAGTTAAATTAATATAATCAAGAGTTACAGTG